TTTTCCGACAGACGCGCGCTCCGGAGAGGAGCAGGTACGGCACCTGCCTCCTTGGCTGCTCCTGGTTAGGTGGAAATCAGTTAAAACCACAAGAAAAAGAGACTCCCTCACTATCGGGCAAGTTACCTGATGATGATTTCTTGTGAAGAGTGAAATTTTTGCACATTTTACCTCCTTTTAGAAAAAAGGAAAACACTGAGATTCTCTTAAGAGCAGTATTGCATCATGGCAGCTTTAAGCAAAACTTTAAGGGGTCGTCTTCCTCTTTTTTTTTTTCTTTTTTTTTTTAATCTGTGAGTTCACATTTACCTTAGTTAACCAGGAAGCCAGGTTATTTTTATTCTCCTTCCTCTTCAATGTAAACTATTTTTGATAGTTACAGTTCTCTTAATATTATTTGATACATCAGTATTTTCAATCATTCTCTTGAAATCCAGAGCTGTGTTGGGGAGACACAAATCTTGGGGTTTTTACGACTTAAACAGCCAAACACCCAACTATTTAACAATCTTTTTTATCCATGCTTTTCTTTCCTGCCCTCTCTGCTCCGTGTATCTCATTTCCATTCCATAGAGATTGATTTAAAAAAAAAAAAAAAGAGGTAAATGAATTCATTCACTGGAATTGCACAATTGCTCATCTTTGTACTCATTTCCAAAGAACATGATGCTCGAGTACAAATCCCACTTTAAAAGGCTGCTTTGCATATATATACACATATATATAAAGTAGGGAAATTATAAACAAGCCCTGATTGTTCCCAGCTTCATTCCAACGCGGGACCATTTAGTGTTTCCGTACATCTCGGACACTCTACTTCCTAACTGGCCGTGATGTTACCAGTTGGCTCCGGTGGATCACACCACTCTGCGCGTGGATTTCAGCGGCACAAAACCTGCTTGGTCTCGAGCACTTCCCACGAAGAGGTGGTGGGTGCCCGCCTGGCACAGAAGCTGGCAGAGCTCGGGCACAGGCGCTGCCGCGGCAGCAGCGCGCTGCTCTGCAGAGCAAAGTCTGATCGCTTCCCAGAGAACGCACGGAGGAAAAAAAGAAAAATAAATCAAGAATGGAGGGGAAAAGAGAAAAGAAGGGGAAAAAACAGGGAAAGCACCTGCCCCCCTTCCCCGAGATGTGCACGTGCAGAGGAGCAGGGAGCTGTGGGGGGGAGGGAGGACTCCTGGATGGAAGACTGAGGGCAGCTCGGAGCCGCAGACCCAGCGATGCGGGCAGGCACCGAGGAACCCCTGGCCGCACAGGGACGAGGATTTACGCTTGTTTGTTTGTGACTTTGGGAAATAAACCAAACTAATTCAGTCTGACCAAGCCAGAACTCCCGGAAGCTGCTGTTCACGCCGGCAGCAAAGCACACTTCACACGAGTGTGTTTTCCAGGGCTCCTCGGGCAGAGATCCCAACTCCAACACGACGTGGCTGAGGTTGTGTGCTCACTTCTTGCCTGGGGACCGCGCAGGCGCTGCTTCGGGAGAGCATCCCTCTGCCTCGGGAAAGCCTTGCGGCAAGCGAGACGTGCCAACCTTCAAAGTCCAGTTACGTGTGCCCTTGGACGTGGCTCCAGCATGCCCGTGGCTCGCTCCTCCTGCGAAGGAAGACGCGATGCAAACGGCCTCTGCACGAATCTTCAGGTCTGACCAGCCAGCCCGTTTCAGCCCCGCACGTGCAGAGGGACACATCCTCCTCGGCACAGTCCGTTAACGAACCACACGCTTTTCCTCCTTCCCAAGGGTAACAGGAAGAGAGTTTCCAGAGCAGATGGCAGCTTCGGCGGGTGTTGGCACACTGGTGCAGCAGCGGCACCCAACGTGTGCCCCGAAGCGCTCCATGTCTCAGGCTCAGCCTGGGAGCCCCATCCCATTCCGAGCTCGCTCTGACGGGGTCTTCTGCAGCAAAATCCATAGACTCAGGGAAGCCCTTCTGCCTGTGCATGAGTAACTCTGTGTTGCTGCCAAGTGCTCTTCCCGTCCCTCGGGGCAGTGAGGGAAGCCTGTCCTTGCTCCAGGCATACCCATCACACCTTCCCAGCTGGCACTCCAAAGCCCAGGTCTTTGCCAGCTCTATCGGAACTCGAGCCACGCCACTGCTGTCGTGGAGCTCTCCTTACTGCTTTTGCACCCGTACCAGCCTTCCCCCTCACGCGTCTTTGTGCTGGCTTACAGCCTACGTGTCCTACCGAAGTGGAAGATCTTCAGGAACTTGGAAGCCCACCAGCTCCCCTCCCGGGAAAGCCTGCCGTGGCGATTCATCCGGGCTGTGGCACCCACGAAGCGTCTGACAGCGCGTAAGCACCTGGCTCCTACCTCCTCTTACCCCACTCACCCGCTTAACCCCTGTGCCTCCAAGAACACGTCCGCATTGTAATCGGGGGGGAAGGAAGGGTTTTGGTTATGGATGTGCCACGCTGACAACAAAGCCAGCCCGACCTGGGCACAGCCATACTCGCTTCACCACTGAGGAAGCACAAGCGACTGGTGCAACGTAGGGGGCAGGAAAGACAAGATACAAGGAATACACTGCGAGGAGAGAAAGCCCTTGAGCATTCCTCTTCCCTCTGGATAGGAAAGCATCGTGCCACACACCCCTCTGTAGGTGAGGGTATCTCCTTCATCGTTCGAGCAATACTGCAGGGGAACGGGCACTGGCGTGTCCCGGGCGACGCAGCTCTCCGCGCATCTTTTCCCCTATGCATTGTTCCCTCCGCTCAGAGATACCACTATTAATTAAAAACACTCCACACTTTTCAACTTTGAATTAATTGTGCAGTCAGTATGGGTCAAAGCAGCTTTCATATCAGTTTTTACAATTTTGTTCTGAACAAAACGAGTGTAGTTTTCTTCATTGGCCATCAATTCCAGAAAAAACCCCGCCGTTGTTGCATAATGAACCACTATTATTTTGTTCAGTCGAACAGTTAAAATGATCTTTGACCCAGAACATACTGTACCAGCACAGAACTGAACAGAAGATGTTTTCTCCATGTTTTCCCCCTGTGGTTTAGGTGGCAGCATCTATCCATTCATAGCTGACCGTCTTGGTGGCAAGAGAAGTGACGTGATGCAGTTTTCTGCAAATGAAGAGATGAGACTATTGGCCCTGTACTCACAACATTTATATCTCGCTAATTGTGTCACCTCTCTCACAGAGCAAGCAGCCCATGCTTTTTAAACACCAAAACCACCGTTCAAGCCCTTCACTGCAGAGTCCCAGCCCAGATAAGTCATCTGCAGACACCAGGTCACCCATGAACAATCTCCGAGTGCTTCACTCTGCATGTCTGGAAACAGGAAAGGTTTTCAACATGCAGACTGGGAAAACAGCAGTACCTCTGTGCTCATCACAGGGTTCACGTGTGGCCCACACAGTTTGTGAGCAAAACTGCAATGAGCAAAACTGCAATCTTTGACCAAAGCGACAAAGCGTGGAAGCCAGCCGTAGAAGTCATAGGTGCTGCTCCACCAGGAGAGAACAAGAGCACTTCGTATGCCACTCAGAAGCTATAAAGAGCTATTGTTCATTTTTTCCAATACCAATCAATGATCCCGTATGCAAAGAGAGGTGGCTGGGGGCAGAAGACCCCAGTGCTTTCACAGACTCAACCCAGACACGTATCTGCATCCTCCTGCCGCACGCAAGCGAGAGCCCACACCAAAAGGAACTTTGCTTTTTCTGCGTGCTTTTATCATCAATAAAATAGTTAGCAGCTGGGGTATTTCAGCTGCCAGTAGACTTCAAAGTCAATAATGCCTTGAAAGGAACATTATCGGGTCAGCCGAGCTGCACGCTGTGGGGTTCTGCAGTTACCTTGGCAATAGTTACGGCACTCGCGCTCAGAACTCCGGGTAGGTCCGGGCTGCCACACTGCTGGGTCCTGCACCAAACTGGAAAACTGACAATAGCTCCAGCCCGGAGGAACTTGAAATCTGAACGAGCTCCTCCACCACGTCAGCGCTAATTACTGCACTTGCTGATAAACTACAAGAACTCTGTGGGATTCAAGGTGGGCTGTCAGCTGCCGTGCCACCGCGGGCACACCAACACCCGCTGCGCACGCCTCTGCCTTGGGGCGGAGGTGCGAGTGCCAGACGGGCATATCTGGGCTCTTACACACGCTGAATTCCCTTGCAATAAAGCAAAAAACTTGCCCACAGAGAGAGGAGAAAGGCTACCTGCAAATCTGATGGAAGGATGTGCTCTTTGGGGAGCAAACAGATGGAAAAAAATCTCAAATTAAAACCTGAGCGGAACACTGCAGTAACCAGTATCCAGAAGTGGGTCAAATACCAACGAATATCTCCCCCCTTCCGTTAAATTAAAAAGGATAAAACACTCTTATCATGACACACCAATGTACGATGCCCTCCTCTCAAGAGCAGACACTGGGATGACCAGTGGACTTGGGATTTCCCAGTGGAGCCACCCACCCAGTGAGAATACGGCCAGAAGCTGCTGCCTCCGTTTAAAGATTGAAGAAAAATTTCCAGCCAGAATTCCTAACTACAAAAAGACGCTGAGGTCTGTCGGGAACTTAAGTCGAGCAGCACAAACTACCACCTCCTGGAGTACGGAATCCAAACAAATTTAGGTAAAACGTACAACCTGACGCTGTCCCGAGGAAGCCCCGCGAGACCGCGACAGCAGCAGCGATTAATCGCGGACGTTTTTCGTAACAGCAGTTGCAAGAGGGTCGATATCAAACGAAGCGAAAAGTTCGGTGGGCTTATTAATGCCTCTATTAGTGCACTCCACGCGGAACCTGGGGAACCTTTTAACTTCCAGCTCAAAGGACAACCTCACCGGGAAGGACGTGTGGGTGTGGGAAAAGCCTTGGCAGGATTATCGGCTCATTAAAGGTGACCTCAAAAGGGAGGCAGGATGGGATTTGTGCCCTTTCATGTTCCATACATGAAGAAAAGCTAATTTTTTTCCTCTTCTTAAGAGGGTTTTTCCTCCTTATTTCTACATTAGAGGTTCGACACCTGGAGAGTAGATGGAAGGTGACATTCAAGGTGTGGTGAAGGCGAAGGCTGATGAGTGGAGAAGTAACTAACACCATTTGTATTCAAATGCTTTATAGTTCTACCGTCTATTTAAATCAAAGACGTAAGCGAAGGGTAAGGAGAGAAACTGGTTTTGTTAAAGATTTAACAAACCTGCCCCTTCAATAAAATCAGCAGCTTCCTACTCATAAATGAGACTCTTAAACAGTCATCCAACAAAACAAAAAACAATGGATTTTATCCTTTCTTTTTAATCTCGCATTATTCGCCTACCTCAGGAGCAGCAAGAAAGCTGAACAATTTCTTTCGCGTGTCTTCCCAAGATAAAAAACAAAGCACCCATGAAGAAAGTGAGACTGAGTCCACACACCCTCCTGTATCCTCACGTCACCTGGTAGAAAACGAGATAGCTATTAACAGCTGACTCCTCCCCGGGGAGACCATCCACAAAAATCATCCTTTTCAAGTCGACTGTCACAACGTGGCCTTCCGCAAGCTCAGGACAAGGCTCCGGGAAAGCCACCATCTTCAGGCTGTCAGCTACAGCACCCCATGCCCCTCGTGGACTATGGGCTTGAAAAGCTCACGTGTCCCAGAGAAGAGCTGACCTGAGAATGGCTCAGCAGATGTTTCAGTCCAAGGCTGTTTAGAAGAGCTCTGGGTGAAGGCAGTCCTTGCACGAGCGTTTCAGGTACCAGCACGGGCTGTCTAAGGGACATCCAACACCACGCCAGCTATGGCTCAAGCAGCTCTTTTTCCCCAAGCCACGCAGCTATCTCCTTTCTCCTTGACAGGCATTAAAGAAAAAAACTCAAATACTTCTGCAACATTTATGGAATATTAAAATAAATAAATGCTTTGGTTCTTTTTTCTGTTCCAGAAAAAAGAAAAACAGTAGAAAAAAAATAAAGCAAAACTAGAGAAGCATTTGTGAAGTGCCATCACCCAGCTCTCACAATGAGGTCCATCAAAACCCCAAAGCCCCAAAGCTTCCAGTGTTTCAAACCAACACTTCCAGCCCTTCAGGTATGCAGCAAGTACTAAAGAAACCCAAAATTTGTATCCCTTAAAAAAGCTGTATGGCAAAATGGTCATGTCTAGAATGGACATTACGTACCAGCTCATCTAGAAACACAAAGCCAAACCCTCAAACAAGTCATGTGAGCCCAAAAGACAACACAGAGATGCTGCCTTCATGTTAGGTACTGAACAATGTCAGTGCCCCAGGGCCAGTCTGCAGCGAATAATGATGAGCAAAAAGGAAAAAAGCGACAGGCTGGAAGGACGAGGAGCCAGAAGAGAACAAGAAGCCCGGAGAAGATCATGGGCTGAAGATGAATCGCATCCGAAAGGAGCAACTTTGCTTTCAAGTGAGATATGAAAAGCCTCACTCCTAGGGACAAGGCAGCCGCTGGCTACTGGAAACACGCTGCGACAGAACAGTAAATAAAGCAGATTCAGAAAGAACGGATTTTAAACTGAAGTTACTGGGTTTGGTGTTGAGGTTGGGGAGAGTTTTTCAGCATTTTTACAGACAGGAAGTACTAGTATTTGCATGTCTGTTCAGAAGAGAGCTATGGGAGAAGAGGGATGTCCATCACGGCTTGGCTTTTGACCAACTGACACCCAACCCAGGCACCGTCCGCACAGACTGCCAGGGCCCCCAGCAGGAAAAACTGCAAGAGAGAATTCCCTGACAAATCCGTGCAAAATCTTAGCTAAAATCAGTACTGTTAAGTCATAAAATTCAGAGTGGGGAGAAGCAAACCAAAAGCATTGGCAGCTACAGGAATCCAAACTCAAGAGCCAGCATTCTCCTTAAAAGAAATAAAACCAGTATTGGTGATGGCATTAGTGGGAGGGAGGCACCATTCCGGATGTCGCTCTTGGTGGCACTGTCTGCAGTTTAGAGAGCTTAAACCCCCGTCCTCAAATTTGGGCCCTCTTAAATCACAAACAGAATCGAACCAATCCCAAGACTTGCAAAACTTTAGATCAATTTTCAAACTACAAGTCTGTTTTGTTCCATGAAAGAGATTTAAGAGGCTTTTAATTCCTCTGAAAATCCATGCAATTCATGTTTTGAAATACGTTGCCATGTGTGACTGAAGGACATTTTAAGAAGCAGGAAAATGGAAAGCATTCTACTCCAGAAAAAAAAAAATTCCAAGTTTTATTGGGCTAGCGTAGGAATATTACTGCTGCGGTATAATTCAGGAATACGAGAAGCACGTTTTTATATTTCAGCTGCCAATGGGGCTCAAAAAGGAGCAGAGGAAAACCCCTGTAGAGCAATGAATTGCTTGCTGAAAGATGGGCTGTCCTGACGCCGAGAAAGCGCGGCGAAGGCACGGCGAGCGCTGCGCATGCAGCCGCCCTCGCACACTCCTGCACGGGCACAGAGGCAGCCAAACCCCCACGGTCACAAGGAAGCAGCCCACCACTGGCCAAACCTGTGCAAAAGCCAAGTGAGGCTCATGGCAGAGTCCTGCCCTGAACACTGTGTCACCGATACCCCGCGCTGGAAAAGCGGCGACGCCTCGGGATCCTGCGCGAGCCTCGTGCCGGTCCCTTCCCATCCCTAACATTCTGTGATTCCGTGATCTGCAGCAGGAGGACCTGACCACGTCCTGACAAAACCTTGTTGCTGAAAACGTGGTGTGGTCAGGCAGCTTTGGTGGCACAGGCACGGCTCCGCGGCCAGCGGGGTTTGTCCCCGCGCTTATTCTAATGACACACATTCAATTACTGGAGGAAAGAAAAGAATCAAATCAGAAACATCTGTAGTTTGCCATGTAATTACTGGATCTTCCCCACGGAGAATGACCTTTGTAACACTGATACCGGGACCCGAAAGGCTAAATGACAGGATATTCACACGGTTTAAATGTGTAACATGATTACAAGGAATTAACCAGGCGCCGTTATTTTCCGGCGTGGTTCATGTTCACGTGAGCGTGGACTTTCTGATCTGACGTTTAATCTCTGCGCTCAGTGTGCAGTAGCTGAATTTACTCACTATTAGTGGCCCCACAGCACCAAAATGTCATGTTTTGATTAAATAATAGAGTTGAATACTGGATTCGAGGTTAATATGCAGCCGTTACTTCCACCTGTAATAGGAATCTTTTCGACCGCGCTTTCTTCCCTGCTCTCATCTTCACGCCCGCTTGTGACTTCGGGATGCGAACACACCATAATGAAACCCATTTCAAAGTCACAGTGATCAGACTGGTTTGTTTGCTTTCAAGCCCTACTCCCTTTAATTTCTCACTTTTGTTATCTCTTGTTTATTGATCTAAGCTATCCATTACCGTTCTTAAAAGAGGCGCCTACTGTGAACTTTCCTGGCACGCCAGGCTACCCTGCCTCTCTGTAGCTTCCAGAGAAAAGGACAAGCTAACCAAATGTCTTAAATAATTTAGGGCCCGATGGGATTTAGGAAACAAACAACCCACAGTAACTCTGCGATCTCGTCCGGCAGCAGCAGCATATATCACACCGACCGCGGAAAATGAGTTTAAATCAAAGTCTCCGTCTCCTCCACGGATAAAAGTCGCGTGAATTTAGGAGGCCCAAAGCAGCGTGTTTACATTTGCTGTGTAAAGAGCGTTGCAACCTAATTGCCTGCCTCTTCCGGACTTTGATGTCAGGGATGCTCTGAGAGCAGACCGAGCAAGTCGAGGTTGCCAGTTATCACCCCGGGCTAATCTATTACTTCCTTATCCAAAGAAATTAACGGGGCTTGCACAAACGCGTTCACCTTCTACGCTCTGAAACGGCACCGCACACCTTTCTCAGCACGAGCCCTTTTATTTTTGAAAACGCGTTCTGCGGTCCGGCTCTACAAGAAAAGGCAACGAAGACATCCCACGATTCCTACACGGTAGACATTTTTTAAATAGGTGCACACCTATAGATGGGTTTTTAGGAGCTGCCACAAGGCTTGCTTTGCTGCTGCAGGAAAAAACAGTCGCAAGAGGTATCGCTCGTTTTGAGAAGTAACAAGAACGACAAACGACACTGAGAGACTCAGGAAAATCCCCCAAAGCTCTTCCCAAATCCACATTAATCTGCCAGTTGCCATAACACAGTCCCCTGCAGATCTGGATAGAAAACACACACATACAGAGAAGGACAGTAACTCTGAGCGCACGGCCGGAGCTTTTCACACTTGTTACCTTGTTCTCCGGTGCCGGCGAGCGGGGCAGCGTGTTTCGCCTGCTGCACTTCCCTGCCCTCCCTGGGGATCGACGGCGAGCTGCAAGATGAGTCAATGCTCTCAGCAGATGACCTATCCCCACGCTCTTCTGGAAGGACCTCTCTCGACACCGGTAGAGCCTGCAGCATTAAAAAAAATAAAAATAACCACAGCCCTGTTATCCTTTGTCTCGAGCGTTTTCCAACATACGTTTAGGCTAATCTATACTTCACGGTGTAATGTGTTTCCAGGGTGTTTGTGTTAGATGTTAAGTTACCTCGGAGTTAAATCGGTGCTGGCTCAGGAATGGTATTCCACCTTGAAGTAACACAAACTTTGAATGATTCTTTTAATCACTAGGTTTCCTGGGAATTTTCAGTATTCCTCAGGGTAAACGAAACAGAATGGTGCACCAAATACACCGCAGCAGCAACAGACGGAAAAGAAATCCCTCCGTTTCAGGCACGCGGCAATAACCGACGGCGTCAAAACTGCAGCTCAGAACACCCCTGAGATGGATGGCCCTGAAGGCAGAGAACCTGATGCACAGTTTGCCCGAGGCAGCCTCGGCCAGGCGAGGGTCCCGCTTTAATCCGCACGTTCCCGAAGTTTGTTCTCTCCTGCCTGCGCGCAGCTCTGCGGCAGCACCGTCCCCACCGCCGTAGTGGAGCTGGAAGCCGGTACCTCCACTGGGAGCTGACCATGCCCTAAACACAGCCGAGCTAGAAGCTGGCTCAGAACAAAGCCAACGCTCTCAGGTTATCACCCACCTGACTTGAAGTACC